ACTGGTGAGGACTGGAGAGGACTGGTGAGGACTTGAGAGGACTGGTGAAGACTGGTGACAGGTGAGGACTGGTGACTGGAGAGGACTGGTGAGGACTGGAGAGGACTGGTGAGGACTTGAGAGGACTGGTGAAGACTGGTGACAGGTGAGGACTGGTGACTGGAGAGGACTGGTGAGGACTGGAGAGGACTGGTGACTGGAGAGGACTGGTGAGGACTGGTGACTGGTGATGACTGGTGAGGACTGGTGACTGGTGAGGACTGGTGATTGGTGAGGACTGGTGAGGACTGGAGAAGACTGGTGAGGACTAGAGAGGACAGGTGAGGACTGGAGGGGACTGTGAGGACTGGTGACTGGTGAGGAATGGAGAGGACTGATGTGGACTGGTGAGGACTGGTGACTGGTGAGGACTGGAGAGGACAGATGAGAACTGGAGAGGACTGGTGAGAACTGGTGACTGGTAAGGACTGATGAGGACTGGTGAGGACTGGAGAGGACTGTTGAGGACATGAGAGGACTGGTGAGGACTGGTGAGGACTGGTGACTGGTGAGGACTGGTGACTGGTGAGTACTGGAGAGGACTGGTGACGACTGGTGACTAGTGAGGACTGGAGAGGGCTGGAGATGACTGGACAGGACTGGTGAGGACTGGTGACTGGTGAAGACTGGTGACTGGTGAGGACTGGTGACTGGTGAGGACTGGTGACTTGTGAGGGCTGGTGACTTTTGAGGACTGGAGAGGACTGGTGACTGGTGAGGACTGGTGAGGACTGGTGACTGGTGAGGACTGGTGAGGACTGGAGAGGACTGGACAAGACTGGTGAGTGGTGAGGACTGGTGACTTGTGAGGACTGGTGACTGGTGAGGACTGGTGAGGCCTGGTGACTGGTGAGGACTGGTGACTTGTGAGGACTGGAGAGGACTGGTGACTGGTGAGGACTGGTGATTGGTGAGGACTGGAGACTGGTGAGGACTGGTGAGGACTGGTGAGCACTGGTGAGGACTGGAGAGGACTGGTGACTGGTGAGGACTGGTGACTGGAGAGGACTGGTGAGGACTGGTGAGCACTGGTGAGGACTGGTGAGGACTTGAGAGGACTGGTGACTGGTGAGGACTGGTGACTGGAGAGGACTGGTGACTGGAGAGGACTGGTGAGGACTTGAGAGGACTGGTGACTGATGAGGACTGGTGACTGGAGAGGACTGGTGACTGGAGAGGACTGGTGAGGACTTGAGAGGACTGGTGACTGATGAGGACTGGTGACTGGAGAGGACTGGTGACTGGAGAGGACTGGTGAGGACTTGAGAGGACTGGTGAAGACTGGTGACAGGTGAGGACTGGTGATGACTGGAGAGGACTGGTGACTGGAGAGGACTGGTGACTGGTGAGGACTGGTGACTGGTGAGGACTGGAGAGGACTGATGTGGACTGGTGAGGACTGGTGACTGGTGAGGACTGGAGAGGA